CTTCTCTGTTCACCAGTGGATTAAGCCACCAGGAAGGTGTTGATACATACTTTATGATCTCAGAACATTGACATTTTCATGACCCTTATTGCTATTTTGCTGCTGTTGATAAGCACAGCACACCCTAATAATTTTTTATAATTTAGAAAGCTGAGTTAACTAAAGTTTTGACAAAGCATGACTCCAGCAGAAAAGCCCAAGTGCTATAGTCAGCATCTTGGCTTTCTTGCGTCAGTTGTTGGAACATTGAAGAGACGTTTCACAAAATACAGCTGCAAGATCCCAGACAGAACAATAATCAGGCTCTGGGCTATTGACCACCAGTTCACATAGTTATAGTTTGACTGAAGAAGAAAAAAGTCCGCCATCTTCCTCATCCGAGCAAAGTTGTAGAATCGCCACATGTGAAAGACATTGCTCTGCACCTTTCGTGTACTCTCCTGTGGAGGCAAAAATAAAGGTGTCCCAGGGATGGTAAGATAGCTCAGGCAGGGACTAGGGTTTGATGCCCGCACCTCGTGCCCTGCCAGCCCTGTCCCCAGGCACACTGAGCCAGCCATTGAAATTGGGTATGGTGGCACATGCCTGTAATTCCAGCACTGGGGAGGCTGAAAATGAGTCCAGGCTGCACTATGAGACCCTGTACCAAATACATTAAACAGGCGTCCCACCTTCATCTGTCCTCATGAGCACTGAGCAACACTAACCTACATTTAATACTATTAATTTTTCCTGTCTTTTTTGGCAGAACCAGGGATTGAACTCAGACCCTTGCGCTTGCCAGGGAAGTGCTTATTCAACTGAGCCATCTCACTGGCCCCCATACTATTAGTTTTTGAAAGTATTTTGGCTGATGATGTAGCTCAATGGTCGAAAACTTGCCCAGAATGTGCAAGGCCCTGATTTGGTCCCTAGCATGGCCAGAATACCTCGGCTTCACAAATGCTAAGCAAGTGATCTGCTACTAGCGTTTACTCCTAGCTCCAGAAGTGTAGCATTTAGTGAGGATTGGGCACAGGGCCTCACATAGCTTCACCAAATGCTCTACCAATGAACCAGCCCTTTTAAAATTTTATTTTGAGAAAGGTTCTAAATTATAAATTACCCCAGCTGACCTTGAACTTGGATCTTGGCTCCTGCTTCAGCCTCCTCAACTGGGATTACAGCCATGTCACAAAGCCAACAAGTTGTATTTTTTAAAATAATGCAAAACATTCAGGGGCCAGGGAGATAGCTCAGTAAGGGCCTGAGTTCAATCCCCGATTCC